GCTAATGCTCTTGCACTTTCCTGACCGCCTTGTTAGCTGTTCTCGCTCCACTCTGGCACCATGCCCACGCCGTGGACCGAGTGGTACTGGTGGGGCGAAAGGGTTCGAGGCACGCCGTGGGAATACAGGAATTCTGCGGGCTGTAAGCTGCTGGGGGGGGACTGGATGCCGGTTTGAGGTCCACACTGCCGGACGATGGGTTGGTGAGAAACGGAGGTTTGGTGCTGAAACATGCTATGGGTATCTCCTATTTGGGGAGAGGTATGGTTGGCCACGCTGCTGAGCCGGGGCATCAGCGGCCCCGAGGTGAAGTGGGCAGAGAAATGCTGGTAGGGTAACCTGTCCATCGGCTGCATGGCAGACACTGTGCAACTGCTGTAGGCTGGCACGCTCGGCCAGGTGTTACAGCTGATGGCTTCTAGGGTGGGGACCGGGGAAGCGGAGCTGGCATACATACATGCTTGGCGCTGGGCTGATTCAGTCCTGTATGAAGTGTTCAGTCCCTGCTGCTGGGGGTAACTGGACCTGTAGAAAGGATCCTCTTCTGCTGGAGAAGTTTCCATGTAGGGCTTCTTGTAGGGATGCTCAGTGGTGGAACATTCCTCATCTGTTGGGAGAGAAAACTCGCGGTAGCGAACAACAATACTATGCCCTCGGCTGAACCTCCCGCTCCACAATCCTCGTTTTACCAAGGACACAGTCTGCGCAGAGCTGATCCAGACACTCCTCTCAGTTATGTCAGTGTAAATCCGGATCCCTTCCTTGGAATCGCCCTGAATCGATCCTGCTGAAAAAAAACTTGCACTTGGCCCTGCCTGCTGGGCTGGGGAAGGGATTAGCTGGGAGCTCTGGGAGGAAAATCAGGGCTGTAAGATGCTGGAGGGACTCCGAGGCTTAGCTTGCTTGGTGATACCCCATGCACACCCCCACACCACCAAGCTCCTTGTCTCCTTTCTGCTGCCAGCACTTTGAGCAGAGCAACATCTGCCTGCGGGTAGAGCGCACCTCACACAGGTCCCCACTCCCAGCTGAGAGGCTCAGAGCTGATGCTGTGCACTAAAAGCCTTTACAGTGATGTACTTTCACGATAAATGAGACAAAAATGGAGATCACAATAAAAATCCCCCCGGGAGAGCACCAGCAATGGCAGAGTTGAGACAATCAGATTTGGAGTTTTACAGCCCCGGTCTTTAGCTGTGCCAAGGGAGCTGGGCACATAAATCCAGGCAGGGCTGTGTGCCGGAGCCAAGCGTAACAAAAAAGAAAAGTAAATTTCACAGCTAGAAACAACAAGGCAGAGCTTGCAGAGCCCTTTGTTTCCTGCAGCATCCCGGGCCAACAGAGGGAAGGAGATAAACAATTTAGGTGAAATCTCTAGGGTGAAGCAAAATGAATAAATGAATATGCACTTATTTATTCATTCGCAGGGTCATCAAATGAAATCCAGCTCTGCTGGAAGGGATGGCAAAGTTCCCAGGGATGAGCGCTTCACCAAGAGATTTTAAGGACAGCGAGGCAAGGGAAGGGGAGCTTGTTCTGACCCAGATTAACTTTGCTGCAGCTTCAAGAACAAGATTCCTGGTGCAGCCAGAAAAACATCCCACTTTGCTTAAAGCCCTCTTGGCTGCACCCTTTCAAGGGGGGTAAAATCTGAAAGAATACTGCTGGAAATGGCCCTTTTCAAATTTTATCAACCAACGCGTTTTGAGCTGTAATTTTTTTCACCCCCGAAATACAAAGGCGAAAAACCACTTCCACAAAAAAGAGGACTAAAAGCATCTGCCCCCCAGGAAGCACTTGTGAAAACCCAGGTGTTGCTGCTGGGCGGCTCCAACGCGCGTGCCCACGGCTCACCCTCAGGAGGTGCGGACGGGCAGTGCGGGCACCTTGTGTTTCTTGTAAACATGCACACGCGCGTACCCTTCTTGCTATAAACAGCCGCTTTCTCCTGGAAGCTGCACCCACCCTAATTGTAAAATAACCCATTAGTCCCACTCAGGTGTCTACCAAGGCCAGCAAGCCCAGCTGGAACAACTGCTGTTGTTAGTCTTCTGGGCCTGACAACCCCAGAAAACATCAGGCACTGCGGTACACACCATGGGGACTTTCCCCTCGGTGTCCTTTGACTGTGTAGCAGCAGCCGCCCGCAAATTCAGCTGGAGAGGCACATCCCATTTCATGCTTTCTTCCTGACAAGAGCAAAACCTGGTTCCTTAGTCCCAGCAATGCAGAGCCCTGATAACCAAGTTATCGTCCTCCTCTGCCTTCTCTTAAACCGGGACAGAAAGTAGGATGGGATAAGCGAGCAATGCAATCACATCTTTAAAACAGCTGAAACAGAAAGCAGATGGACCCAAAAGTGTATCGCTCTCCTTAATCCTGACCCGGTTGGTTTTATGTAGGAGCAGTGGGGAGGATGTTGTCCCCTGAAAGACAAAAACGGGAAGCACCGGTCTAAGCTCCCTCCCGAGCTATCACAGGAGGTACGTCTGGAAGAACAGCCTGAGCTCTAGCTTTTACAGACAGCCTAAAAGTTTTGGATCCCTAACCCACCACTGAGTAATAAGAACACTAGGGTGGAAAAACAATGTCTTGTAAAATGAAGCATTGTTCTGCTAATAAAGTTTTCAGCATTAAACCGCATTACTCTGCTGGCATTAGAAATCATTGGCTTGGGGTTTGACTGTTTACTTTATTTTTATTTTTTTCAATATACAACACAAAACAGTCAAACTCTGTTTTTCCGTTGTGTAAAAATGCGCCTGACTTACAACCTGAGGTTGCTGATTTTTCCATTTAGCCCAGACGTTTCGCTGCCTGCCGCAGCCCAGCCAGGCAGAGCCGCAGTTATGGATCCACTTCCAGAATTCATCGCAGGTGAAGAGGGAAAAACAAAAACAACCAGCATTTCAGTGGAAACCCCATAGGTGCCACCTCTTCTTCTGTAAGCTCTTGCGACGGCTCTGCTGGCCTCTCTAGAGCCAGGCTCACTGATGTTGTGTGTGGAACAGGCACCATCACTCCAGGTTTTAAGATGTGCAAGGACACCGCACCCATCTCCAAAGAGGACACGGTCTCTAACAAAGGATTACAGCCTACCCTAACGGCTTCTGCCTGCCCCCCGGCCCCTCCTCCTGATGATTTTCCCATCTATGTAACCTGAAAGTGCTGGAGAGGGAAGAGAACAGTCCATCTTCATCATCAGGTGGGATGACGCAGTCCAGAGATCTTCAGCTGATGAATTTACACTGGTCCAGGCTCTCTAGTCTGATCTGGCTTTGTCTCACCACTCCTTGGAGAGGAGACCAGAGCCAGCACAGAGCAGGTGAAGTGCATCCCCATGGTGTGCAGAGCAGATCTGGGGGTGGGAAGGGGACATCTTCAAGTAAGAGAATGGCAAAAGGAGGACAAGTCAAACAGGGCTCTCACACAACGCTGAAGGCTGCAGTTTGAAGTCATCTCCACCTGCTCTGGAGCCTGGACAGTGTGTCCCAAGGCCATAATCCTCTTCCTGCAGGTCCTCTCACCTCCTCAGCATCAGCGTAAGCTGGACATAGGAGATAACTGTCTGGTCTACTTGGGGTTTGATTCTTGATGTTGGTTCTCTGATAGCACTTTATTGTCCTTTTCCTGTCAGCACTGAGCCCTAGGAGGTGCTGGGCACCTCTGGGAGATGCTGACCATCCTGGGACATGCTGACCATCCTCCACGTTTGTTGCTATTCTTGGAAGCCAAGAGTGGTGATCAGCTCTTGTGACCAGCCCCTCGATACTGTGCAAACCTCAAAAAGCAAAAGGTTCTGCCAAGCAGGGGAAGCTGCCAGCGCTTGGGAGAAGCTGCTCCGAAGTGGATCCAAGGAAAACGGAGCCTGCAGAATGGGGTGGAAACTGGCTCCCTCACAAGGAATTTGATGATCTATCTAATGAAGGAGCTTGAGTGAGAGCATAAGCAGTTCCAAGATTTCCGGTATTTACTACTTCCAGCTGGGCTGTAAATACCACACAAATGGCTTTTTAAATGGAATTTTCCCAATTCCAAGATTAGGGCCATCCAGAATGAAATGCAAACATGTAAAATCTCTGGACTTCAGGGTGCAATGGGCCCACCTCTTCCCCTGGCGTAAATCAGGAGAGCTCCTTTCCAATTCATGACAATCAGCCCCCCGGGACAGAAGACAATGAAGAATGGGACCCAACTGTTTTAGCTTTTAAAGCTCACCCACACTTCCAGGGCATTACAGTAGGTTCATCCCGACTTTGTGAGGAAGACACAATGGGTGATTATCTCTAACACTGTTGTTCTATCCAGTCTGGTTTCTAGTATGAATCTAGCATGAGCCTGAACAGCCAATCACAGCGTGCAAAACTGACAAGGGTTGTCAAAGAAGAAAAGAAAAAGGCAGATTCAATCAAAATGAGCATCCCTAAAGGGCAAAGCAGACGTACGTCCTAGCACATGAAACCTAAGACGTGCTAGTTGTTTCAGCAGTCGCACGGTTTGCAATGTGGCTGTGTCGCATTGCGGGAGAACGCGACAGACAGGGGTTTGGGGCAGAGACAATCCAACACGAAAGCTGGAACCTCTTCCAGAGGCAGGGAGTTGCCGGCACTGCCTGCAGAGGCACAGGAGGCACCTCCTGATGGGAGAGCAGGATGCTTATATGAAGCTGCTGAAACTACGGCACCACAAGCGATGTGGCTGCACAGCAAAAGCTGGGTGCACACCAGCCCCCTGAGTATCTCCCCACCGTGCAGGCAGGCTCTTCTTCACCCTCGGTGCCCCAGCAGCCACCTTGCTCTGGGCTCCACTGCATCTACCCAAGCTGCAAACACCTCCGGCTGCAGGATAGCTCAAGCCTTGGCCAACTCATTACACCTCCTAACATCAGCAGGATGAGCAGCATGTCCTGCAAGAAGACATACCCTCCCCTTTTGTCCTACAGATTCTTTGAGTGAAATAAAAGCTGGGTGGTATGAGGGAGAAATCAGTTCGATCAATGAAGAGGTCTATCCACCCTAACAGTGCCTGTTCTTGTGCAGAAGGGGGAAAGGCATTGCTGTAGCTCCACCGACCTCAGCAGAGCAGGAAGGAGATGAAAGACATATTCTTCCCCGCGGGCAGGGTCATGTCCAAGCTAGGTGGCTGAAGGACACGATCCTCGCTGGTTGGAGCCGGTGGATTCTGCCACGTCCCTCTTCTCCCTCAGAGTGCCAACATGACAACTTTTATAACCTCCCCAGGGAGAGGCTGTTCCAGTCGCCTCCTGTTCAGCATCACAAGCATCCCAGAAATCTGCCAAGTGGTTGAGATTGTGTAAGGCTGGGAGGGACCAGAGGTTTAGAGGGATGGCTTTTTAGTTCACAGGAAGTCTGAGGGAGGAGGATAACACAAGGGAAAACAAGCCCCGATGCCCTAATTGGGACATGGGGCTAAAATGAAAGACAGAAAGCAAGCTGCCTGCTGGTAAGTCCTTTTGGCCTTCTCCAAGCACAACAATGAGAAAGGGAGAGGTGGAGAACAACCAGAAAAAAGGCAAAGCTCTAACTGGTCTTTGTTGCAGCCTAAAAATCCACATCAAGAACTGAGGCCCACTCCTTGGTAAGATACAGGACTGGAGTTAATCCATCCTCTCAAGACCAGTCTTTTTGTGAAATTCCACAAGCAGTATCAGTGTGGAGCTGGGATACAACGCAGGATGACTCTCGCCTTGAGGACTGCCATTCCTCAGCCTTCTGCACGTTCAGAAGGTGCCTGGAGCAGCGACCCCATTGCACCACACCGGGGTCATCCCCAATGCTGCAACCCTGCACTCCCACCCGGGCACCAGGAATTGCCAGATTTGGGGCTCTGGGATGTGTCCTCCCTTCCTTCCTCACCCAGAAGAGCATCAGCTCCCTGAAACAGAGGAGCCTTCAGAGATAACATTCCCTCACAGCCCTGCTGCTCTCCCCTAATGTAACTCCATATCAGATCTCCAGAGTGAATCCATCTTGACTTGACAGCTAAGAACAACACCGTCAACCACAGAACTAAATCTTTGTCTTAGGTCACCAAGGAAGTAGAAGTTGAATAAGGTACCTTTGGGTTGCTCAAATACAGACCTATTGTTAACCGAGCCTAAACCAAGACTTGACCTCCTGATTAAAAAGGATGCAGAGAAACATCACGAGATGTCAAAGCTGGAAGGCGCCGTATCTGAGAGACTATCTTGGAAAACAGTGTGGTATTTGCTACAGAAGATACAGACACCAGCTGGTCTCAAACCCAGTCGCATTGCCTTCTGCCCCCGCGAGCACTCATCCATAACCACAGCCTTGAGAAAAAGAAATAATCCGCTTGAGAGAAATCCTAAACTGACTGCGGAAGAGTCAATGCTTGAGGAGCTGATGATCCAACAAAATCAATAATACTTCCAGTCCAGAAAAGGGACAGAGGTGCATTAGGAGTGAACATGCTCTTGCTTTCGTATTTTCTTAGATGGTGTGGCTTGTTAAAAGTTATGCAGAAAAGTAGGAAAGCAGGAGAGCTATGAAGGAAAGCTTAATATTTCACTTAGAAAGGAGAGGCTGGAAAAGGAAGAAAAAGAGGAATGTTATAGGTGAGGTTATTTTCCCAAGTTCAATAAAGATCCTCACTCAGTGCTAGAAGAAAGTGCCACGCTCAGTCTGAGTTTGAGACGAAACCTTGGATCACGTTCTGATTTATCTGAACAGAATTGCTCATCTCTAGTGACTTTTTTTTCTTTTTTTAAATTAATTTCACTTTGCAAAGAGCTGCTTGGCAGCTTACGTTGGCTCTCTGTTTCCCATTAACTTTGTGTTTCTTTTCTTTAAGCCCTGGTGGCTGTTTTCGATTTACTAGATGCATGGGGAGGGGGAAAAAGGCAGAGGGAGGAAAGCAGAGGCTCAGGCTCCTGAGACGTACAGCTTCACGGAAGAAGCCGGTGGTATCGGACAGGACACTGCTTCTCTTTGATTAAAGCATTTGGCGGCTTTGATAAAAGGCCCTTAACTGCTTGTGCCACTCAAGGCATCGTAGAGATAATGAGGGGCCATCAGCCGTACAGACAAGGACTTGCTTTGCCAGTCTCCTGCACTTTCGCAAGGGCCACGCAGGCCAAAAGGGGCCGGGGAGCTTATTACAGGGCAGATAGTCGTCTCTTTTGTGACAATAAGAGGAAGTGAGATAATTGGGGGATTGAGGGAAACCACCCATGGAGACACCACTTAGCGGGAATCCCAAAACTGGAAGGAAACCTCTGTTGATTCCTTATCACGTTACAATGTGGAGGCGAATGATGAATTGCCCTGCAGTGAGGGGACACGCAGCAGTCGGAGATTGTCCAAAGGGTTTGTTGCCATTTGGGCCAGCTTGTTTTGGTTACTTTTTCCAAAGGGGAAGAGGAGCGGTGAAAGCTCAGCTCCCAGGGCAAAGGAGCACCGAGGACGGATCGCAGGCTGAGGAACGCCAGGGGCGAACGGGACCTGCCTTTCCCTCGCCAACGGCGGGGCTTTGCAGCCACCCAGCCGTGTCCCAAAGCCTCGCACCCGCACGGGGGTAGCAAGGGCCACACACCCCACCTCTGGCCTTAGGGGACGCTCTGGGAGGCCTCTGCAACTCCTTATTCCCTACCTTACAGCTAGCTCAAGTCTAGCATCACCATTTCCAATCACAGTTTTGATACACTCTATACGAGCACGAGGGTTGCCTGGTCAGCTGGAGGGGTCAGAAAATGATGCCGCTGTTTTCCACTGTTTGGCTCAATCTCACATCAGGAAAATATTAAGATTTATCGACATTTTGTTTTGCATATATACTTGTACACAACACACGTGATGTTACAACATTGAGGGGATTCACGAAGGATGTGAGAGAGATTTCCACTGCCCTCCTGCCTCATCTGCCAGTGCTTCCCAGCATCCGCTACCTTAGACTGTGTGGCTACACTGCACATCCCAGAGTGCCAGGGGTTACGTTACTAAAAATAATGACATATGGCTGGCTGATAGGACCGTGCAGGGAAGCAGGAAGGGATCTGCTGCGGAAAAAGGCTACCGGGCTGCAGAAATTCTCGGTGCATTCAAATGCCATGGTGCATGCTGACTCCTATTAGCTTTTCTCGTGCAACGTAGACTAAATCCTGAGAAAAGAGAATAGGGGTAGGCAGTAACCATCTCCTGCCCACCCCATAGGGTTGCATTCAGCCCTGGAAATCCCCTATTTCCTTCTGAGCGTCTGGGGTGGAGCTGATTTGAGGCTTTTGTGATCTGAGACCTGCAAGTGTTTCTGCACCTCGCCATTCATGTTGCTTTGGGAGAGGAAGGGAAAGACTGCAAACCTGCCTGAGAACAATTATCCCATTGATATCATGGGGCTCTTCACGCCAGGACGAGCTGAGCAGTCAGTGTAAAACCCTCACAGTTTGATCCCTCAAGCTCTGTCAAAGCACGTCAGTCGCACCAGAAGGGAACGAACATGGATATCATGATTTTCAATCCCACGCCCCGTTCATTAGACCGAGCATTTAAGTGGAATTGCTTTCTGCATACACAACTGTCTCCCAACTGTGAGACTCTTAGTCGAAAACAGTGCAAAATCCAAGCTGTCAAGGTATCTCCACTTGGAGATTAACCCTGTCTGAGGGGCTATGGAGACAGATAAGTCATCTTTATCTCTGGCACCAGCTATCTTACTGAATGTGGATTCAACGTGGGTGAAAGGTACTGCCACCTCTCGCTCCCAGCCCAGCAGCAGAGATGGGGTTTCAGGCTGACACCAGTGAGAGAAGTTTCCCAGCCCAGGCCGGGGGACCTGCCTGCCTCCAGCACACAGCCCTCATCCCTTGTCATCCTCAAGTGTCACCGAAAAGCAGGCTGGGGCTGTCCAGCCTGTGGGCGAGGGGAAACATCAGAAAACAACGCTGACAGTCGTGTTAGGAAGGGGAAAGCCACCCAGCAAGCGTTGAGCGGGGAGCAGCCGAGGCCTGACCTTTTCTCTTGGTGCAGTGGTAGATCTGGCTGTGCTCCTGGGAGATCGGGTAGGGGTTGGCAGGCGGTAGCAGGTCCTGGGAAGTGCTCGACACCCCGTTCTCGCACTGGTACTGGGAGCCCAGGTTGGAGGAGGCAGAAAGGACCCTGGTCTCGCCACTGAAGGGGCTGTGATTCGAGGACACTTTTTGTCTCACTGTGCTCCTGGGAACAACCGGGTACTCTTTACTAAAAGCAAAGAAATAAAAAAAAAAAAAAACAAGGCAGAAAAGCAATCAATTAATAAATAGATCAGTGAATTAATAAATGAAGGCAGCACATTAGTGTCATGGTGTTTGTTTAGACTTTCAGGAAAACAAAGACATCCCTCCCAGGAGGCTGCAGCCCCGTCACACTTTATCGGTGCAGCACTCTCTTCTATTTCACTTTCCTTTTAGTATCTTTCCCTTTAGAGTCGTGCCTTTTCCACCACAACTGCTATTTTACACCCATAGATCAAATAGATATATGCAGTTATAGCAAAATACTCAAGATTTATATTTACATATTATGATAGCATTTATAAAGTATATACTATTTATACCGTATATTTGGATGTGCACATGCGTGTAAATAAAAACCTCATTTCTGCCAAGCTGACTTGGAGATGGATTAAATATTTAGGTCTACTTCTTCCCCTTATGGTAGTTGTCCCCATTCCTTTTCCCCAGGGTCCGCCAGCCTGATTGTCCTGGATGGGGGATCCCTGGACCAGAGAACAAGCTCCACTCCAGAGTGCTCAGAAAAGAGAAATAAATAAATCACCAAGACCTGATGCATGCCAGAGACACACACCTCAGCAGAGCCAGGCTGGGAGGGTGAGCACTGATGGAAAGTCTGGTTTGTTCCCTTGCTCTGAAATCTGGTTTGAAGCAGGGATGCTTTGCCAACGCTGGCTGGAAGCCCCTCTCCTACAAGACCCTACAGTGTGTTTTGGAGACATTTCTCCAAGCACATCAGCAACGCGACTGGACAAGACTGTTCCTGCTCTACAGGATGGAGAACTGAAGCTGCGTAGCGGGTCTCAGAGACTTCAGGCGAGGAGCAAGCCTCCTCCTGGGACTGTCTCCAAGACAGCTGGGTGCTCCCTGAACCCAAGGACTTGGTAAAATGCGTAAAGATCAGGTAGCACAGCAGCACCTCGGAAACTGCCACCAGGCTCAGAGCAGCCACAAACCAGAGCCCAGATCCCAACACAAGCTTTCTTCTTTGAGGCTATAACCATTGGACCAAGCTGGCTTTGAGGTATCCTACTCACCTGCCCAAAATCGTTATGCTGGAGCAAGGACAGATCCTTAAATCCCGTCAACAAGCTCACCTGGCCACTTGCACATGGAGGAGGAGCACTGAATCTCCAATTACACCCCTTAGAGAGGACCTATCACTGTAGCAACTCAGAACTTATTTACAAAATTTAACAATACCAATTATATAAACCTACTCACAGCAGGGAGCTTTCATCCAAACCACTGCTGTGGTGGCTGCCAGAAACATCAGCAACCGAGCTGTAATGGAGGGGAAACTCACCCAGGAGCTCAAAACCAAATAAATGTGTCTCTCATTGTGCCACAAAAGCTTTCCAAACCCCGGGCACTGGTGGCTTGCCAAGCAGAGCCTATTCCAAAGGTGGGGTTTCTTCCCCTGGAAGCCCAGCAGCTCCTCCCCGCAGGAGCATGGCTTTCCACCCACTTCTGCTGGCTGACCAGGCAGCTTTTTCCCAGAACTGAAGTCCAGGATGTGCACGAGGAACAAGAGAGAGATGGACTGGGAGGAAGCAGAGACTTATCCCTCAGATACACAAGACAGCAATGGATGCCAGGGTGTGTGGTGGGCTTCAGAGGACCTCTCTGCCTGTGGACACCCAGTGCTAGCATTTCCACCCCAGTAGCACTTGCTGGGGGGCAGCTTTGGTGGCTTTTCAGGAACGTCAAGAGTTATGGCCTTCAAACCTTCTAGGTTCTAGGGGGTCTCCCAGCCCCACCAGGTTCCGGTTTTGAGCTGCCTGCTCCTGTCGTGCTCCACCTCCACACAGGGATCCTTATGGAAACAGTACCAGCATGACACCCCAAAGCGGCATCCCCACCATGTTTCCCTTCCAAGGACACAAGCCATAGGGAGGTGACACATGGAGCTTGCCCTTAGCTCTCCTCCCTAATGAGAGGCTGCTGCTGGTTCCTTCTTCCTCAGCTCCAACACCTCCACCCTCCATCCCGCCCAAGAAATGACACAGCCTTCCCCCCCTCCTCGCCCCCAGTACCTGTGAGCTATGATGGAGGAGGAGGAGGAGGAGGAGGGGGCACATACCATGGCCTGATGCCACATCATGTTCTCTGTGGCTCTTTTGGAGGATGTAGAGATGACTGCAGTCACAGTTCCTCCCTGCTTCAGTGAGGGAAGAATTGGATGTCTCTTTGGGGGTGTCATCCTCTCCCCATTCACACGAGGGATTAGATCTGCATGGGGGTTTCTTACAGTAAGTTCCCAGGGTAGCTCACAGGGACCCCATCAACATCACTACGAGAGGCACCACACAAACACTAAGAAGCCATCCCCGTCCCAGATGCTTCTCACTTAAATCTACATGTTCTCTGTCGCAATGGCGAGCTGAGAAGGGGAAAATTTAACAACATGATTGGTTTTTCTTGTTAAAAAATACTTCCTCTCCATAAAGGAGCGGTATGCCTGAAACAGCAATATTTTTACCCTGAAGTGCCAGCATGGGTGATGTCTGGATCCCACACTCCTGTTGTGCACTGGGGACCAAATTCCTTTCAGACTGCATTTCCCAGGGGACACGGCAGCCTCCGTGGCCATAGGAGAGGACTGTGGTGCTCTGCGGGAGACGCGGCGGGAACGGGGAGTTACGCTGGAGAGGGAGCAGGTTGGAGACACCAAGTTTCCAAACAGCAGTTCCCAGGAGGTATCGCAATGACTTCTCTCCAGACTGAAATATTTCCATTTCAGTCAAAACATGTTGGGTGCTATTTTTGCCAAAAAACCCACTATTTGAGGAGGGAGAGGAAGGAAAGTATTTTCTAACTAAATATCTAAAATATTCCCTTTCTTTCACTTTGCCATTTTCCTATACACAAAGGAGTTATCTCTGTATTTCCTCCTTTTTCTTCCTTATAGGAGCTGAGGTCTAATAAAGAGATACCTCTGGTACCTTGCAAAGCAACAGTCATCTTGAAACATTTATACTCTTTCCTGAGCCCACTCAGTATGCAGTGTGCACAGCTACCATTTTAGTTTGTCCTTTGGTGTTTAAAAATGCATCAGATTCTTTTTTTTTCAGGGCCTAAAAGTCACTATTCCCAAAATAGCTGGTTGTAATCCTGGGCCACAGTTTAATGGAATGAAAGGTTTTGTTCACTGCTGGCCCAAAGTGACTGTTGTGTCCAGAAATTTTGCTGTCCAAAAAAATTGCAGTGAAGCAGGGAGGGGAAAAAAGCGTTAAAGTCTGACTTACACTGGCAATATAGGAAACTGTCCACACGGCAAGGAAGAGACTGTTGTTCCTGGGCCAGAACGTGAGTTACAGTTTTACATGGGAGTGTTAACGGACTACATTTTTTTTGCATTAAAAACTGTAAAATTAGAAGAAAAAAAAAGTTGGTTGGGGAAAGAATTTATAAGGAAGGAAGCTGTCATTGGTCTATTTAAAGTCTGTTGGAGGCTAATGATGAATATTCAGTTACGGGAGTTGGTATATTACAATAGCGGGGGGGGACTGGGAGGACGGGGGGAGCCGCATTGCGCAAGGTGCTGTACAGTCTCCGCGCCACCGGGCTTCCAGCTGAAGGGCCACCGGGAGAGAATACTACTTTGATTTTCATTAGAGCTTGGGGGAAGAAATCAGGGATGAGGTCCAAGTCTATAGCGAAGGCACTCGGTCCTGAAGTCTGGACTCAGTTCTTAACTCCCACCTGGCTAGATGTTTCCCAGACCCGTAGATCAGACACCGGCTCTGCATCGCTGCTTCCCATAGCACTCGCATTCCTCTTCAGAGCCCATCGTACAACCCCGACCCTACAGATCAGGCCTTACAGGTGAATCCTTCCTGCATTTCCCAAGTGCTTCCATCAAAATCAGACCTCTGCCAGGTGGAATTAGCAAACTCAGTCCCATTTTCACATCTCATGATGTCTTCCCCGTCCCCTGGCCGGACGATGCCCTCACCATGACAGACTTAGGAGCTCCGTAAGATCACTTATGCCACAAATTCATGTCTAACAAAGGATTCAAAGGAGCAAATTCAAGAAGGCTTTGTAATCTCAGAGCTGGAAACCTTGTTGGCCTCTAGAAACTAATAAAAACTGTGGAAAAATTATAAATATAAACCTTCACAGAGCAGTCCACTTTCTTGCTTATCACTACATTGTAGGAGAGTAATAATTTTCAACGTATTTTTATGTGCAGACTTGAAGTTTCCTAATGTACCAGCCAATGCATAGTAAATGCAGCTGCCAGACAAAAACCTTGTTAAAAATCTCTTTTAAGATTCTCGGTTTATAACCAGGAAGCCTCTGCATTGAAGCATCCAACCCCTGCTGGCCCTGAATAAGTTATTTTAGAAGATAATTCTGATATTTCTGCAATAAAGCATTACACACCAAGGCTCTCCAGAGCTGCAGTAGCTCATGGTAACAAGACTTCAAAAGACCTACTGAATGTCAGGCCCTGAGGATCATACTGATACCTGTTTCGAGGTCAAGATGAGGCATGATACAGAAGAGGATTTCCCTGTGATTAGCTGCTGCCATTACGGGAATCTTTGGAGCCCCTGAGCTGGGCACCGTCTGGATCTTGTTCATGATGGCAATTCCTAGTTAAAATCTGACCAAAGGTGTATCAGTGGCCAAACACAGTGATTCCGCCCCACTCCTTCCAAATTGCCAGGAGATTTTTACTCCTCCTTGGTCAGTCACTACAAAAGGACAAATGTTTGCCATCCTATCGGTCCTGTCCAGTCCACTCGCCCAGCACCCGTGGGTACAGCGGTGCAGAATCAGACCGCAATTCTAGACGTGCAAACATAACTCAAAGGCATTTGGGTTCATATTTCCCAGGCCACCAATTGTTGTCCTTCCTGCCACCAATTGTTGTCCTCCCTGCTGAGACTCGAGAGTGGGAAAGAAATGGAAGTCAGCCATAACAGATATAGAAAGAGGAAGAGAAAAAAAGTGACT